GATAAGCTACGAGTATTACAGCTCTAAATCGAGAAACCTTTAGATAAAGCCTTTTGGAAGTACACTCCTGTCTGTTTTATGTTATAATAATTTGATTTTATTGTCATATCAAATTTGAATAATTTTGCGTTCGAATATTGATGCTGTAATCGTTTTTTCGTCATAGAATAAGTTAAATGTTACAAAGATTTAGGAAGATCCCACGYTTTGACAAGCGTGGTCATGGTGGCAACAGAACCTTACCTCTTTGTCTTGATGTTGTTTGATGTGGTTTTCAGAGGTTGCTCTTCTTTTCGCTGGGCTAGATGARTACGAAAACAAAGTAGGGACTGAACCTTTCTTCAAAGTTCTCTTTCTTTTCTTTCCTGTTAGTTTTAGTATCAAATCTACTTCGAAGCATGACTCTTCGAAGTGAACATTGCAAACGTAGCAATTCTTTAGTGCTGGTAGATTTTCTCTCTTTATGCGGGCTATCCTTGCTTTTTGACTGACTTGGTCAGTAGGGATTTTATAACTGATATATGTCTTTTTTGAATGGTGCACTGTGGCACACAGCAGTGTGGCATTTGGAACAGAGAATTTCGATTACATTTGATAAACTTTGCCTGTAAACTCTCTAGTAACACATGTTGAAGTCTATGTTGAATAATGCCTTCACGTTGTGACGTCACAATACAAAGCGGTCATTTATTGCGGGCTCAAAAACGGCGCCTTTCAATTTGCAATTTCTAGCTTTTTGAATTTTGATTTGTGCTTTATTGATAACAAGATTGCTGTCAAACTTGATTTTTTGGTCTACATATGCTATAGTTTTTAAAACCCTACATGTTTAAAATATATGACACCGGAATAACAACCCATCCTACAAGTTTACCCCAGGACTTACATTGATAGGTGCATATGCAAGACATTATAATTAATAGAAAAAGATCGAATTTGGAAATTAAGAAAGGCCACGTATTAACTCTGAAGACTCATCTGACTCAGATGTAGGTCTTGTAGAAGTGGTTTTATATATACAATTGCTTGTCCCAATTCTGCCATATCTTTTAAGTAAGGGACACTTTAGCCAAAACAGGGTGATGGCTTGATAAGGATTATTTCGCCAGGCCTTACTCCACTTCTTAGCTGTTCGAATCACCAGCTTTAAGTTTTGGGTAAGCCTTTCCAAGAGTTTCTTTAAAACGCAAAGAATCGTCTTTGTTGCCAAAAACTATTTTACGTCGATTTAAGCCTGCATCAATCAGAGCCAGTTTTTCAGCTTTGTTAGGTATAACTTGTGTGTTCTTCTCCGACAAGCAGAGGAAATCGTGAGTCCGCGTTTCGAGTATTTGATTAAATCGCGTCCTCTTGGAGGGTGGATGAGTATCCGTCGTTGTTGGGCCCCAAGAACTTGGATAAGAGCGTAGAGAAGTGCTTGCATGTGGCGCAAACAGATTTCTAAGATTTTGCAYGGAAYGMAGTGTGGAATCACATTCAATTTGTGATTGAGCAGGAGCTTGAAAGCGTGAAACCTCATTGACGGAATACTAGCACTCTCGCATGAACTTCATCAGTTGAATACAACGGATTCTTGGATTCGAAACAAGAAAAAACGCCACACTTCACTGATGGGATACCAGCACGTACGAATAAACTTCATCAGCGGAATACAAAGCACGCGTACACATTGAAAACGCCAAACCTTACTGATGGAATACCAGCATGCTCGGATAAARTCCAGCAGTAGAACCCAAAATACTCGAAAATCATGAAAATAGCAAAACTACACTGATTGAACACCWTGTCGATGACGATTAGTTTTGGAACTAGCTTGGACTGCGTCGGCGTTTTTTAGTGGAACAAAATGTGTCGTAGTTGATAATTTTATCACCGTGGGTATTAAAAGTAGACTGATGTTTTGGACGTTAGTCCTTCGTCAGAGTCAATGAGAGAAAGAGAATGATGGAACTTAATATAGTGGTGTAGAGGGAAAACAAACCAATAAGAAAATAGAAAATCGTTAAACAAAAGAGAACAAAAAGATCGAAAATAACAATGGTAAGTCTGTAATGGCTAATTAAAGGTGAAGGATTAACTGTGCCAAGCGAATAAATCAAGCGCATTTCTTTTGCTTTGCGTGAATTATTGCTACCGTGTGTTAAGCAAAGACTAAAAACAATAGCATTAGTTTCGTTAGAGTGGTTCGCAGAATTAAAATGTCAAGAAACTGGTTTAGAGAGGTCTTTCTTGGAATATCGTAAAGGTGGTCTCTGAAATAATCACCTAATCTTCGTCCAGTTTCTCCAACATACAGCATGTTACAATAAGAGCATTGAATGCAATAGATGATGTTAGATGAAGTACAGTTGAAGTGATCCTTTACATTAGAGGTAGAT